GGTAAACTCTACTATGATAACAAAATTTCACTAGTCTATATTATTTATTTTGTTATTTTTAAAAGCAAATAGATGAAGCAGAGTCATGTTAAAGTTCAGTTCAGGTTCAGGTTCAATGATCTGCAAAATTTGTGGTTCAGGTTCAGGTTCATTGAACCTCAACCTGAACTGAACTGAATCTAGAAACCCTAATTTAGAGAATTCTGCAACAAAATGGCAGTTAAAATTTTTAGCACCACTGACTTGTATTGAGTTGATTTAACAGTTATAATAGTAAAATATTAATGTAAATAATACAAAAAATACTTGGGTGAATCCAAAATATGATTTATAAAAGTTACAACCATCAGAAGTAATAGATGTACAATTAGTACACACGACGGAATTTGAGTTTAAAAAACATTGAGGACAAGAGCTACTATTTTTATTACTACCATCCTCTTGGCCATAACTACAATGTGTAAATGAGCAGCCAGATGAATAATTACAAGAACAAGACTGAGGAGAAAAGCCAAAAAAATTATAACCATAGGCATAAGTATAGCTTCCACAAGAAATGTTATGACAAAGACAATTTCCACAAATGACCAGGCAATTAACAGTTTCACCCATATTGGGAATCATGGATCCTGAAACAGGAAGCAAAAATACAGAAAAACACAAAAGAAATAGGAGATCCATTAGAAACTAAATTTGTTTAATAAAAGACACTGGTTAAAAAACTTATATTTTAACTAAATAATACCTTGCAATATATAGTACAAATTATATCTTAATTACTGAGTGATATATGTATTTAAATATATTTACTATATAGTAAATATATTTAAATCATAACTTAGATTACCCAGTAACTAAATTATAATTTGTACCATATTACAAGGTATTAGATATTGGAGTATTAGTAATAATGAAACTAGAATTAATATAAATAAAAACTAAATAACATACCTTTTAATTCAGAAAAGTGTGGTAATTCGAGAGTGCAGCCAAGAGAAAAACTGTATGCTATGATATTTAAATTTAACTATATGCGGCAAATGTGTACAAGGTTGTATACCGGATGATGGAAAATATAGTACAGTAGTATAGAAACCTATTTTAAATCAATTGATTATTTATTAAGGTTAGCAATAGGACTCAAACCACATAACCAGTTTGGAACTTAGGATTTTGGGATTTTGGCAAATATCTCATCACTAATTAAGGTGTTACCTATGCTATATTTATCTCATGCTTTCTTCATTGGTAAATTCAAGTGAAATCATCGAAATTTTTAGTATTTCCTAATAATTTATTCAGTGTTAATACTGTATTCACATATAAGTTCCCCAAATTTTGGTGCAAGTTCTAATATAGTAATGTGAAAAAAATTAGAATTAGCCAAATTTCTTTATTTTTTTTGTTTATTTAGACTTTTGTATCTAAATTTGAGCTTTCGTCAACCTTTAGTAATACACGAGTAGTACACGAGTATTATATACAAAAATTTGAAATATTATTAATAATGAACAGTGGTGGAATGATACTTACTTATTTCTATTTCTTCACTACTTCCCTTTAGTTTTTGTTGGTTATACAGTATATTCTAGATATTTCATTATATAGTTATTTTTAGCCTCTTTAGCTTTTTTTTAAATTTTATGTGTTCTTCTAACGGCTCATTATGCTGATCATTTTAGAAGCTTCGGTTTGGGTGATGTTAGGATTTGAACATTATAGAAATAGAAAATAAAAAAATCTCAGTTGCAATTTTACACCTCAATCAATCGAACAAATTCGATGGAATTTTTTGTAGAAAATAGAATTTGATTAAAAATTTTTTCATCAAATTTGATCAATTGATTGCCGAGATATCTTTGATCAAAGATTTGTAAACAATTTCAACGCAGTTTTTATGTGACATATGTTTTAAAAAAACTTTCTCAAACTTTGATTGAAGATATCTCAGCAATCAATCAAGAATTCGAATAAAAAAATTTTTATCAGATTTGATCGATTGGTTGCCAAGATATCTTCGATCAAAGTTTTGTAAACAACATCGGCACAGTTTTTTTATATGACATACGTTTTACAGCTGTTTTCATAAATCTGGGACAACTGATAAAAATTATTTCGGCCGAATTCGGTAAGTTTTTGAATTCGATTGGATTTCGGCATTACAGTAATTCGGCTGATTAATTTTTATAGAATTTATGAGAACAGCTGTAAAAAACCTTTTCAAACTATGATCGAAGATATCTCGGCAATCAATTGATAAAATTTTTTTAATTCGAATTCGAATTCTACATAATTATAGAATTTGAATAAAAAAAATCATCGGAATTGATCAATTGGTTGCCAAGATATCTTCAATCAAACAATTTCGGTGCAGTTTTTGTAGCATAAGTTTTAAAAACTTTTTCAAACTTTGATTGAAGATATCATCAATTGAATTTGATGAATTTTTTTTAAACAAATTCTACAAAATGTAGAATTTGTATAAAAAAATTTTTATCAAATTTGATTAATTGGTTGTCAAGATATTTTTGATCAAAGGTTTAAAAATAATTATATATACCATTACGCAATTATTTAACATATATGCAAAATTTCTAACTTACTTTAAAGGTCATATCTGATCAAATACACTTTAATAGATTTTAATGATAAGTGACGTATATTATTATTCATATATCAGGCATTTTAAACAAACTATTTATGAACTTGGATGGGAAAATTTTTAAGAAAAGAATGTTGAATGAATTTTTTTTCTTAAATGATTTCTCAGTAACCATATTTTAAATAACTACCAAAAAGTTTTTTTTATTTAATTTTGCAAAAGCATGGAATTAGAATAAAAAAAATTAAATCTATCGAAATCAGATGTTTGGCTAATTTGTAATTTTGTCGATCTACTTTCGCATTCTAAGTTCTTATAGAAGGATGAATGAGTCAAATGAATGAAGAATACAAGAAAGAAACTACATCCATTAGATAATAAAGAAAATACATAATTATGTGTGAATATAAATTAACATTTTATATCTTTAGTAATATCTTTAGTAGAGTACGCCAAATATCATTTAAAAGCTTTGATATTGGACTTAAAATTGGTAAGGGAGGGTTTGGCAATGTTTACATTGCAAGGGAAAAAATGAGTGGCTATATAGTAACCTTGAAGGTGCTATCTATTGAGCAACTAATTAAAGAAGATGCTGAGAAACAACTGAGTTGCGAAGTAGATACTCAGGCCAGTCTAAGGTAATTTAAATAAATATATGACACTCTTTTTAATGACTAAATAAATGTTTAAATACGAAAGGCATTCAAATATTCTTCAACTTCTTGGATATTTCAAGAAAATATGGATTTTGTTCTAATTCTTGAATATGCTGCAAAAGGAGAACTTTATAAATGACTTAAAAAATCAGGTAGACTTAAAGAAAAAAAAGCTTCAAAGGTTTGTTTATTAATTTTTTAAATAAGTTTAATACATAAATGTTTTCTGAATTTTATGAGTTCATTTCTTTTTCTAAAATGCACAAATAGCTAAAGCTTTAAGTTATATTCACCAAAAACACATTATTCATCGAGATATAAAACCAGAAAACTTGTTGATAAATTTGAATGACGAGATCAAGATTGCAGATTTTGGATAGTTTGTGCATACAAATCAAAAGTATGCTACAAAAAGAAGTTATACTATTTACATTTAATATAATTTTTCAATTAGATTGCTTTATATATAGATGTAAAACAATTTGTAGTATATTGGATTATATTCCACCCGAATGGTTGAAGGTAAAGAACATAATGAAAAGGTCAATCTTTGGTTACTTGGTGTTTTGTGCATTGAGCTTTTAACTAGTACCGCACCGTTTGAAAAAGCTAGTCATTATGCAACATATTAATGAATTGCCAAAGTAGAATTCACACTTCCTGGTCATTTGTTATTTGGGGCTTGCAACTTGATTTGTTTGGTAGCTATCTTTAAATATTTAAAGTATTTTGCTAATAAAGTTAGTGTTAATTTCAATTTTATATTATAAACATAGTTAATACAATGTGACCCAAAACAACGCCTACCTTTAAAAGATGTCTTGAAACATCCATGGATTCAAAAATACCAGAAACCCATGAATATAAGTCCTTTCATAGCCATGTAAAAATCACATCGTTACATCTGGCTAGATATTTTAGCGCTGTATGTGTTGATTAGTTTTCACATTATTATATTCTATTTTTATTACCTACTTTTACGGTATTCGTTTGATGATAAAAGAAAGTATGATTCGTTAATTTGA